AACAAGTCATAGTTCTTTACAATCCTTTATTGAATATATCCATGGTGATATATGATATATATATATATACATACTCCGCTATATTTTTACTGTTATTTAGAGTATTCAAAAGTGGGTTACCGTACACAAATAACTTTAACAAAAATACTCAGACTTTGTAGGGTTTTTCTATTTTTATGTACATGTGCGTGTATTTGAGATGTACCAAACTTCTATTATAAAATAGTGGATTCCAGCATATTAATTTCAATCTGGAAATATGTTTCATTATTCATGGAGTATATTTCCATCATCCTATTGTATTTCAAATTAGAATAATTTTGAAATACATGATGATGCATTATTACTTTCAGAATAGATTAAACGAGTCGATTTGATTTGAAATATAATGTACACATTTGTTCGAAATTCCACGTCCTCCAATTGTAACATGTTTCTCGCGGGTCTATTATATTAATAATATATTCTGCGATAAATAGAGCATTACTGGGTAGCGGAGACCAGGGCAAGATGACTATGTTAACAATTTTTGTTGTTTATTAATTTATTTTTATGGATAAAAAAATTAATTTTACATGAGGTCCTTTGTAGTATTAAATATATTACCATTTAATTTTTTTTCAAATAAAGACAAAGAATAATTTTATTTTTTCATAATTTTAACAAATTGTCAACTTGCCCCAGTACTGGGGCAAGATGAAAACACTAAATAATGTTGAGCATATTCTATCTTTTGAATATGTTACATGGTTTAACAAATGATAACAGTGTTTTCACATCTTTCAAATTATCAAACTAAGCGTAATGCATTGTAACGTTATGTTGAAGTGTTTAATTGTGCAGCTAACAATAGACACAAATAAAAGTGCCGTTTTCGTAATTGGAACATTCCTCATGCCGCCACTCTTGGCTTTTACAGCACTGGATCCATTCTTCTGTTGGAGGGTCACAATATTCCTCTTCACAAGCAGGACATCTTATAGCACCATCCTTTGAAGTTGATGAAACTGGACTGTTTGGCCTGGATTTTACAGACTTAGGCCTACAGGAACTTATTTTGAGTTTTTTTTACTGAATTTTAAAAAAGCTTCTCTTCTCTGTTTTCTTAAAGTTTTCTGTTCTTCCTTCTGCTTTTCTCTTTGTTTTAACATTTCTTTGATGGGTGTGCCGGTAAGAATGCTTCAGCTCACTTCTTTGCGTTTTCATTTTTTCTCATATTGTGTTGCTTTAGGCAATAGTTTGAAATAAAAAAAAACCACTAGCAGGTTAGTTTGGTGCACATTGGAATCATTTTTTGCCATAATTTCTGGTTCTTCTGGAAGGTTTACATGTTTTGTTTTTTCTTCTACCACGGTGTGAGGATTACCACTATTATTTTATGTTTAAAAAACCACTACCATTGCGGGTGTTGCCTGCAACTTCAAAAAGTGTTGACAAGGCGAAACCCAATCCAACTGTACCGGTCTTGAAGGAATCGCACTGTTAGAATCGAAGTTATTGAGGTATTTCATTTTTTTGCCCCTGATAGGGTTTTTAATTCGGGGGGCTTAGCGGATGGCAAAAATGTCTTCCACTGGTTTCCCCCTTTCGAACGACACATTCCCCGATCCAAAGAACCCCTTAGCTCTCGAGGAGATAGAAGAGCGCAAGGTCGAGAGGACAAATACACAGACAAACAAGCGTTTACATGATTTAATAAAATGGACAATCCTCTCTCTCTCGTAACCCTTGCCGTGTGAGCCCTAACATTGAAAAATGGCTTCTGGGAGCGGTTGCATGAGTGGCAAAACATGTAGTTTCAGGATATCATGGACATATCGCAAGGCTGTCATGGTGCCACAGATCAATACTAGGGGTGACCGTGTATTGTAGGCAATGACACCCCATACCATCACACCAGCTGTGGGAGCGGTGTGTCGCTGTAAAGCAAATTCAGGATTGAGGCATTCACCACGGGGTCTCCACACACGAACATGATTGTCATCACTGCTGAAATTGAATTTGGATTTGTCACTAAAGACGACCTGGTTCCATTCCTTTGCAGTTCAGTTACCTCGTGCGTGGCATCCCTCTCCAAAAGTAGGCATTGTTGGGTGGGCGTCAAGGGCAGTACACGTAATGGGCGCAACAATCCTAAATGTCCTTCAGGCAGGCACCTTCGTATTGTTAGAGAAAACACAGGGACCCCTAGTAAAGGATGGCGGCCGATGAAGCAGTTGTCTGTACGCATGAATTTCTTACTATGTGGCTGTCTTCTCAACGACTGGTCTGTCGATGGCGTCTTGAGCCTGGTCTTCGTGTAAATGACATCTCTCAGATCCACTGGTCCCAACACCTCCTCACAACACAATTAGAGCGGCCTAATTGGCAAACTACTCACCTTTTTAACCACCCAGCTTCCATCATGGTGATGATTCTCCCCCTCTCAAACTGCGACAGCTGCTCATATTGTCTTCGAAAACGGCGTAATGGCATGTCGACTACAGCTCTTGCTTTGTAAACAATTCAGTACACTCAAACAAGCTTTCGTTACCTGTTTTATACTCCACGGAGAACGACGTTAAAAGCCCTCTATTGGCTATACGTACTACGCAATCACTCTGCATTTCTAATACTTGCATATCTCCCCGACATGTACCTTCATGCCAAGTTTCGTTACGATCCTGCAATTATTTCTTGGTGCGCTAATTTTTTTGTCCATGAGTGTATTTTATAACCTTTCGATTTATCAATCACTATTTTATTACAAAATTTACAGTGCTTTACGTTAATATAATCACTGTTTTTTTAAGCAATTTTATATAATAACTAAGATAAAATGCTCTATATATAGTTTTTGTAAATTCAAAATATCTCTTGTCCTGAAGGTCATTTGAAAAATGAATATTAAAACAACACATCAAAACTGAAAAATTGATCATTTGTTCATAAACTTTTTGTAACAAATGGGCCCCGTTTATGACATTCTTTGTAAATTTTTACCCATTTTTTTAAAATTTTAGTAAAAATAATTTTTTTTCTCTTCACAGTTTTGTCATATTCTTTTTCAATTGTACTAAACAAATCTAAAAACCACAAAAAAATTCCCTATGTCTCCATTTTTTTTTAAAAAAAAAAGTTTTCGCAAGTAGTCTGATAATCAAAAGCAGGAGATGGCCAGTTTTTCTCAGAATATAAGAGAAAAAATAAACAATTTTTAATATAAAGGCGGTTTTTATTAGGCAGTCACCTTAAGATGGCGATCAAAAGACTAAACAAGACTCAAAGTACAATAGTACATGTTCAGAAAATACAGTATTTCCTACCCCACAATGCAGTGTTTTAGAAAACTTTCAATCGAAATCTCTCTCAAAAGGCACAGCATGTAATGAAAGTTTGTGTATAAAGAAAAAGAAAAACTGTTTCTTTGAATTTTATCAAAATAATTTTAGATGTAAAACCTGTTTTTATGTGTAAAAAAAGTAAATAAATTAAAATTTTTTTATAATTTTTAAAAACAAATAATTTTTGCTGTCGAATACTAGGATTATTTAGGATTTTTTAAGAGTTAAAACTCCTCTAAAAAATAGCCATTCGGTCTTTTTGTATCATGAGAATATTTTAGACTTTGTTTACTGACGGCACTTCAAAGAGTACCAATTTAATTAATTAACTCTAACGGATTAAATTTCCCAAAGTTGAGTATTTTACTTGTGTATATGCCTTAATTTTCAATGATTCAAAAAAAAAATATTGCACGAAAATGATTGCAGTAAATCATAATGCGGTAGATAAAGGGTTAAACCCTGACGTTGGGTACGGGAGGTCAATGGTTATTCGTTAAACGTTAATCGTGAAATATAAGAATAAGAGAAGGTGTAAACTGCGAATAGGAGGCCAAGCATCCTGAAATTAATATTCGTCGAAGAATCCACCAGGAGTTGTGGGTGTAAATAACTTTGGAGCTGGCCGAGCAATCGGGGTTCGAAAAGGATCATTACAAGGAGCTCCGACTGAAGCTAAGTGATTTTCAATAATCTTATACATCAGATGAAATGTTAGGAGTTCATATTGCTCTTAGAGTTGAGCTGTGCTAAAGATACGATAAAAGTAGCTAATTTTAAGATCATGTCGACTTTTTCCCCGAGACCTCTTACACCGGCGACTTTCCGGCCGCGACAATTCGACACTCAATTTATTGATAAGATTAGATAATGAAATTTAATGAATATAATTTAACATTGCACTCTATTCCGAACAAATATAATAATATGCAAAATGCAGTATAATTTGTAATTAATAGCGTCGGTATAAAACACAAACAACTGAACAGTAATATGTTTTTTTTATTTATATATGATGTAATCTTTGTACAATTTTTTAATCAAAGGCCACAGGTGTAAATTATTACAGAAAAAACCTCTATAAAAGAACTTCCTTTCAGATTTTAAACTAATTAAATGGAATTAAAATACTTTACATTTCAAAATTAGAATAGTAGATATTTATTTTAAATATATAACACAAATTGTGTATCAAAGATTCATTTTTTCCATTTTACTGTATCTATAAATCAGGGGTATCAAACTCACGGCCTACAAAGAGAACTATTGCGGCCAGGTTAATATATTGGCACATAATAATATATAATAAAATATAAAAATTTCTCCCAAAATAGGAAAAATAGTAGCAGAGAACAGATGTCGTGTCAGGACGTACATATTAAATTTTTTTTTCAGTTCCTACTATTAGTTCACTTTCTCCCTATATATATATATAAAATTATATAAATATATATATATATATATATATATCTTGTTCAAATTTTTTCAATTGTTAATAAAATACGTTCTATTCATCCATTCAAGTTCAAATACATTTTTTTAAACTCGTACTGGATGACACTTGATGTTATTACAGTTTTTTCAAATATTAATCATTTATTAAATTTAAAAATGAATAAATAGTAACAAACAGAAACATTATTCCAACAGCATATATTAAAAGGAAAGTCGTTCGTTGTCTCACTGTAGAGCAATGGATAGCGCGTTGAACTTCTCCTCCAAAGGTCGTGGGTTCGAAGGCCATCTGAGATAGCCTAATTTCTGAGAACGTTATATCTTTTTTACTATATTATTTTTTTAGAATAATTAGATTTAATTAATGAATAAACAATAACAAACAAAAAATAGTCCAACACCCTGTATAGAAAGGAAAATGGAAAATTCCAAGGAAAATCGCTTTTTCTACTTTGCCTCTTAATATTGTTATTCTGTCATATGTATGTACATATTTAAATGAATTGTAATTATTTAATAAAAAGTAACTAAAATAAAAGTTTTCTTTGTTAACCTAAGTAGGAATTGACTTAATTTTTTTTATATTACTTGTTTTATATATGTTAATTATAATGTGTTATTCGACATAAACATATGTTTCTATTAAATTTGATTTTCTTTGCGACCCTTAATTTAAACCTTGTTTATTTGGCCCAAGTCAGCTTTTCAGTTTAACACTGTTGCTATAAATAACTGTGAACATTTTAAAATGTAACTAAGAGAATTTCTTAGCCTATATGGAGAAAAAAATATTTCATACGAAATCCTTACAGATTCCATCAATCGATTACCAGAATCATTTCAAATTCGTCATCCATCCAAATGACAAAATAACTCCTCATCCTGTGAAAACAAAATTGAATAAACACGTCTTTGACTTAAAATTTTCGCTTTCTACAATCCAATATTTTATCTGTCATATACAAACATACGGCAAATGCTAAGTGATAAATACTTTGACGGAAATACGCAAATAGAAATGCATCAGGCCTTTGATCAAGAGTGAATAGAATACGATTCAGAAAGGTTTTTTTCCTTTGAAATATTTTCTGCGAGCATACGAACTTCTCGACTAGCTTGCGGCTGTTTATTTTGTATTAATGAAACCTATTGAATCATCCGAAAGATTTCAATGCTGGGAAGTGAATGTTTATGAAATTGTAGAATTTTCTAAATCTGTAGCTGTTTATAATCAAACTTTTTTGGAAACCTTACATATGCATTAAGGTGGGAATCGAAACGTTTTTTTCCCTCAAAATTTCAAAACATACCTACGCGGAAAAGACGTTTTCCAGTACATAAGTATAGGATAAAAAAAAAAAATAATAATTTTTTATTTTTTCTGCTGCAAGGGGAATGAAGTTTGGAAATTTGAGTTTTTCATGGCAAAAAAGTCAAAATAATTTTGGTCTAAGTGGAATAACATTTTAGTAATTGTAACGTTTGTGAAGATGAGAGGACACATATTAAACTGATTCAAGAAAAAAAATAGGTACTTTAGCATAAATTTTTTTAAAAATAAAATCTTGTTGTCGAAGTTATAGTGTACGATAAAGTGGAAGAAGAAAAATAGCTTGAATTGGACTGCGGAGATCGATGGTGCTGAGTTATACAATGACAACTGGGTTATACAATGTTGCAATGTAACCCTATGAGTACTCACTAATCAGTTATCATCACTTTTAATTATTTAGATTGTATAATAAATAATTATTTTTAGTCTAAAATTTTCAGCCAAATTTACTCTTTTTCTCTTTTTTGAAAATTCAACCCCTTTGTGGCAATGTTAAATTTTGTGTAATTAATTTTTTAAATTATTTTTCTCCTAATCTCCATCGTATTAAACAGTCGGCAACTTGTGGCATGCGTGCCACGAGTGGCACGTGGTAGAATTCTCAATGACATCCAGAGGGCATTCAAAATGGCACTACTCTACAATTTTATCAATTTTTGAGTGGATGGAAGTTGATAAATTTGTAATGGACTTTTTTTTATTTGAAAAGCATCTTTAGAATTATAGAACGTTACGGAATTACAAAAAAATCTGACTGATTGAGTGAGTGAGTGAATGTTAATGCCGCGCTGTTTACTTACACGACGGCTTTTGGCGGTGGACCTCGTAATTTTGAACAATGGTCAAGTGACGAGAATGACTCCTCAGCTGGGTTTGACACTGGCCTCCTCACCTAACTACCTCACCACACCAACGGGAGGACGTTTGAGCTTCCGACAAAATTAACGTGCATTACTCCCTTTCATGGCGGATTTTCAGCGGTACTATGCTGGAACCCATGACACGCAGGCCGCGAATCCGTTACCTTGACTACTAGGCTACCACGAAGGGAAAAAAAATCTGAAAGATTACTCTAAAGATATGTTTGTAGCTTTTTTATTTACCTTTTAACAATCATGCCCAAGACAATCTCGGGCACAGCACTGGTGTTCGAAAATGTCACGTCCGAGTATTACTCAGGGTAATTATTTTTGAGTGCATCGTATTGTTTTACCCGAACATATATCGGGAGACGTTTATTTCGGCTTCATTTCTTTATCAAACTCGACTGACTCTCGGGAAAAGTTAATGTGCGCTCAATTCAATAGATGGCAGCACTCTACTGAAGACTTCAAAGGTTAGAGGTTAGAAGTTCTTTGGTTCAAAAAAATTTGACAATTTGTGTACCCATATCATCAAAATAACTTGACAGTTAAAGGGTTTTAATTATTCAATGGCATTGCTGGAGAGGTTTAAGCGGTTGAGGAGGAAAAAAAGGCATGTGTACTCTGCTGTCCGCTTTCGGTTCTACACATCAAAATAAAAAAAATGTCCTCGTATGAAAAGTAATTTGAGTCTACATAGACAGTGTTTGTTGTTGTTGTTTCTAATGACACCTGTCTGACGTAGTCAGATCGAGGCCCACGAAATTCATCGTGGCTAGGGGCTAGGGCCTGTCGTTGGTCTTAGCCTTAAGCACCATACAAGTGACAGTACGAATTAGCTCAATGAAATTCCCGAAGGGACGATAGATGGCGACACTACCAATCTCCATCTCCACAATTTATGCATGGAACTGAAGGGGAGGGAAATATTCTCCAGTTCCTTGTACTCGTGATTCAGCCCACGAGATTTTAGGACCCACTGATTTAATGAGCACGTGCTCCGTGTGTACTCGGAGAGTATTTTTGGCATCAGCCTTCGAACTCAGCCCTTCCGCTCTGGAGTCCGATGCTCTAATCACTAGGTTAACCATGGCCCTAGATAGTGTTTAACAACTTAATGCTAAGAATCATGTCAAGTTGAAAGTAACACATTATACCCCTGATTTTGCGGTATGAAATTAGAGCGGTGCTAGTACTAGGTTCGCATTAAAATTTGTATTTGTCTTTTTATCAAAGAATAATGACGGGAAATGATTATATTTTACGTTGACTATATTTCTTTTTTTAATAAATATGTTTAAAAATACCTAGTAAAACTTTTTTTTGAAGAAGTTATATTTTAAGATGTTTATTTGTATGTTAAGAAATATCTTTACATGATGCAAATTTAATATCGAATAAAACTGTAAATCTAAATTATTAACCTCTATTCTCTGATTAATTCTGCATGCATTACCGCGGGAATTAAATTGTTTAAAAATGTCTTACTGTGGGGTTCGCTGAATCCCCTATTGGTAGATTCGTTTGGCACGTCAAAGCTAAAAAGTTGCCGATCCCTGTGAAAGAACATCTTTTCCGCATATGTATATTTATGATAATTAGTTTGATAATAACTTTTACATCTCCATATAACCACCATCCATCCTTAATATCCATGTTCAGAATTACTGGAAATTAATCTTAAGGAAATTCTTGGATATTTCGAAAGATTTATGTGATAAAGGCTTATGAATACAATTTTATTTGTGGAAATAAAAAGAAGTGACAATTGAATGGACGGAAAGATCACAAAATTTGTGAGTACATATCAGTTTGGGAAAGTCATGCATGTGCCAGTTTTCCAGCACAAACCAGTTTTTAGACATTCCTGAATATTTATTTCACATACATTTTCGAAAATGCCTGCGGGTTGTAAAGGGCTCGAGAAAAGGGCCTGAATTTCAATGAATTGTAAATTGAGAATTATTCATGGAATTTTAAAAAAAGGAATGCGCAAAAAGCTGCATGAAATAAGATAGAGGAATATTTTTTTTTAGATCTAAAGTAGCTTAAACTTGTTCTTCCTGGAACTTTTATTTATTTTTACGAAATTCAAATTGAAATATAAAATCTGGAAAGGTCAAATTTTGAGATGGCTCTCTATATATAACGTACACAAAAATTACTTTTTCTAAAAAAAAAGTATTTAATCAAAATTATATATATATATATATTCAATAATTTCTATTAGAGAGCGAGAAGGGACTTAAACATTAAAGATAAAAGAAATAAACATATATTGGAAACGAAACAATATGAATTTGTAGTATTATAAACAATGCTGACTGAGGATAGCTTTTAACTTTACATAAAAGGGGGGGGGGTAACCATTTTTTGCTAGAAAACCTTCCCTTTTTTGCTTCCCCAAAAAATCTTTTTTTTTTCAGTGGATACCAGCTCATTGTGACATTCCTGGGAATGAGCATACTGACTTCTTTGCTATGAAGGGAGCTCTTGTGATCCAAACACCTGTGAAGATTTCACACCCTTTAATTCCTTAAAACTTTTTTCTAATATGGCCTTTAAGCATAATTTTAAAATGGAAGTTGAGGATATGTCGAAGGACAAGAGCTGGGCTATCTTGAACAAGAACCCGTCCTGGGTTTCTGGGAAGATTTCTGCGTTATTTCATAGAATAACTAAGTATTTCATGAAATAACTAGACAAGTCAGTAAAGGTATCCGAGTACGTTCGGAACCGTGATTTTAAAAAAACGCATAAATGGATAATTTTCATGATATTTAGTGTCACTTAGATTAGAATACATGCATAAAATTGTTTTAAGGAGATTTTGACAAAAAAATTTATATAAATATAATGTTTCGGCAAAAAATTAACTTAGAATAAATTTTTTTCCAAATGTTCTCCTTTTTCACAAAAGGAGAACATTTGG